CGTCCAGAGACGCAGCCGGGAGTGCCCCGGCGTTTGGGGATCGCAAGTGTTACCAGCTTCCGCCTTCTGCCAAAGGCTTGGCGAGGCGTGCTATTGTGGGTCCTCTTGTTTGAGGTCGGACGCGCGTTGATTTCAGGGTAGCAACGTGACGTGGCTGAAGGTGCTGACATCATAATGGTCAAACCATCGCTTCCGTATCTCGACATCATCGCCGATGCAGCACAGCTCGCCCCAGATCACCCGATCGCGTGTTACCAAGTCAGCGGAGAATTTGCCATGGTTCATGCCGGTGCAACGGCCGGTGTGTATGACCTCAAAGCCATGGCGTTTGAGACCACGGAAAGCATGGTTCGAGCGGGTGGGTGTCGTCGCTCCGCGTTGACCTTTGTTTGCTGATGGTTGTTCCAGGCGCTACGCTCATCCTATCCTATTTCACCCCCGAATTTTTAGATTGGCTATCAACATAGATCCGTGATACCGGAAAGGTAACAAAAATCGAGATTGGCTAGAAAGGAAAGGATAGAATGTAGTCTCGATCGTGTACGATCGCAGCTGTAAGATCCTGATAAGATCCTGATAAGATAACCACGTGGCTCCAATGCTACTCGTCCACCGAAGAAGAAAAAACGCCAAGGTTGGCTCAGGCTACCATGGCGAGCACCAGCCAGGCCGTGTCTGTCTACTCCCCCGACACCTGCATGTTCTGTCACCAATCCCTTCGTATCATGATAGGCGCCGACACCGACTCAGATCCCGAACACCCATTTGAACGAGAGGAAGTCGACGACGACGTCGAATTGTATTGCGGTCCACCTGGGTCAGGCCCGGGCGGACACCACGCCCACTGGACGTGCCTAGTTGACCACGCGATGCAAACGCCTACTCGCGGCGTCATCCCGGTCCTCCCGGGGCCGATGCCGGGCGGTGCATACCTACCCACGTTCACGACGTGCGTAGTGTGTGGGCAAAACGTCCTCGATCCATCCGGGCGGTTCGTCGTCGACGTTCGGAACGAGGGCGGTGAGACAAGAGGGTTCGGTTTTGGTGTGATTATCGTGCGTAGCTGTCGTCTCCCATCCCCCCCCCTCCCTCCCTCCCTCCATTGAGTGCTCGTGCCCGAAACGGTGCTAATTCGAATCGGACATGGACATCCCCACCAACATCAACAACATCTTCATCTTGCCCTGCACCCAATCCGGTTCGAACTCGGATCTGCTCACCCCGCTCCCCCTACGCCGAACAGGAAGAAGAACTCTACCTAGACTCCCACCCAAGTCAAGTCCACAACCGCGCCTTCCACGATCTCATCGCCGAAGGTGACTACGCAGGCGCCATCGAACTCATCGCAGAGCACGACGTCGACGTCAACTGTACGTATGGAAACGACCCCTTGACGGCGTTGCAAAAGGCCATGTTTAGTGGGGACACGAGCGGGGTCGAGTTTTTGAGGAGTTTGGGTGCGACGGTGTGAAAGAGTGTCTATCACGGGTGTAAGATGAAATTTGGTTCGGGTTTGCATGGGATTGGTATGCTATAGGAGCGGTCGCGTAAGTTTATTGGTCGTGTACATTATTTGCAAAATGAACGGATGGTCAGTGTGCGCCCAGGCGAGGAAAAAGGAAGACATCCGACCTGCCTGGCTCGAACAGGCGACCTCAAGATGAATTTATCCAGTTACAGTCTCGCGCTCTTCCAACTGAGCTAAGGTCGGATCGTAGGCACGGGGCCAGGCAAGCTTATGGTGCTCCCGAACGAACAGGGTGACGACAGTCCGTGAGTTCACTTGACAGTCGCAAACGCAGACGATGGAACATAAGTCTAAGCTACGAAGTAATATCATCATTCGTCTACTTATCTTATCGCAATGTCGACACTCTCTGTCAGCAAACTTGAGATTCGGATCACGGCAGCAAAGAAAACTACCAACTCAGACCGTTAAAAGCGCCGAAGGTATGCTACAACACAGCGTGATGGATAGAATATGCATTAAGACTGTAGCCTCTACGGGTCCGAACAATATGAGCAATGTTAGTCTGCATATGTGACTGTCGCTGAGATTCTGAGGCACAAGTTCAATAATACATCCAGTCAAAAACACAGACTCACCGTCGTTCACATGTCTAAAGAGGATTAAATTAGAAAACAGCCGATGGTATAGACTGACAACATACCCCCGTGATCCAGCATAGCTCTGCTCGAAGGTCCGTGCGCCCAAACGATACAATCACATCATAATCTAGTTGGTAGTACACCTGCCCGGAAGCATCCCTCTTCATAACCAGATCATTCACAGCCTCGCTTAGATCAACATGAATAGTACAAAGTGTGGAGAAAGATGCTGCATGATTTTAGTCAAGAACGCGAGGAAAAGAATGGAAGACACTTGCATTCATCTTCATCCACCAATTGGGGATTGGATAAGCTGCCTCGGTAGCATAAGATGCGCACGATCTGCATGTCAAAGTCTGCTGGATTACTTCTGATAAGAGAAAACGGATCCCGAAATTGCATCTCCTCGCGAGTATTAGCACCCTTTCAACAGGAGGGTCCTATGTTAGCATCTCGCAATCCACCCAATGGAGGAGGCTTACCATGCGAAGTTTCGACTCGAAGTACCCTGGAACGTAGTAATCGCCTGTCGGATCTATTTCCCAGTGGTTCTTCCTACGAATGTGTTCCTCGTCGTCTATATCGACGGGAAGCGCACAGATTAAGCCATATTGAACGTAGGACTGCACCTCGTATTGCTGTGTACGCTTCTGGAGTTGCTCACGGAGGGAGCTGAGTTCAGCAGACTGCGCCTCGTAACGCTGCTCGAGCTGCTCGAGTTTCTTATGCGAGGCGGTGAGCTCCTCCGCTTTAGCGGCATCTGAACGCTTCCATTGCTCGATTTGGGAAGCGAGTTGCGCCGACTGATCCGCGTAGCCCTGCTGGTGCTCTTCAATCAACGATTCCTTGTTTTTCAGCTCCTCGCGCAAAAGAACGAACACTCTTGACTGCGCGTCGTAGCACTGTTGTAGTTCAACTACTCGAGAGGAAGCGGCGGAGAGGTCGCGCTGAAGCGACTCGTTTTGTCGGTGTACAGCAGTGATTTGCTGTGCTTTTGCAGCATCCGCATGATTCCACTGAGCGACGTCGGCGGTGAGCATGGCAATAGCGGGATCTTCATCGTCGCGGAGCGGTAACGCTGTTGCAACTCGCGACGCGACGAGGTGATTATCAGGATCGACGTGAGACAACACCGCCCCATCAGCGACCGCCTTGTTGCTGATAAAAAGGCGTCAGAAAAATCAAAATTTGAGCATGCTAGAAAAGAACAAACGTATGATTGTCTGGACGGCAAATCTTGATGTTCTTTTCCTTGAAATACGACCAGAGCCGAGACCAGAGCCAATCATTATTTGAGAGCCCCCCAACAAGAAATGCCATCTGAAATGCGAATAAATGTGACAAACTATTCCACGAGGATAAAACTCACTGTAATTGGTATCGTAGCAGATTTCTGCTGTTGCTCGAATGCGCTGATGACAGCGTCGATAGAGTCGTTGAACAGGCCGGTAGCTTCTGCGCTGAAATATATGGTATCAGGCGATCGGTGGCGATGGCGTAGGTCGAACGAATTCCTACCCCGTCAATTTCAGCATGCCAAATGAGATGTTGTATTTTGAATTATTGGTGCGACGACCACCAATAAGCCGGTTCTTGATCATTCTTGATGACTAATTTTGTTGACTGGTCGAACTCGCGCGTAAACTCGGCTATCTCATCGGGGCGATAGTGCTCCCAGCCTTCAAGTTTTTCTATTATTTAAGTTTTCAGGTCTATCACTGGGAGAGCAAATAAAAAGCATAAGCCACCAACTTTGCAACAGTGTCCTGGCCCTGCGGGTAACAAAGACTGAACCTTGCAGTCGACCTAAAAACGATAGACATAAGTAAGGAGAACTTTGGCTGTTGGCGATAGCTGCATACACTCGGCCGGAGAAATCTCCTCGCAGGAGATCGGGTTGCGCGTCATCGAAAACATGCTTAGGTCAATGGTACCACCACCAGCATCGATGATAACGACTCCTTGAGGAGCTTGATCAGCTGTTTCCGCGCTGAGAAGGTTTGGGACGCAATAGTGAGGGCCTGCTTCGCCCTCCGTTAGCAGGTGGACACGGGACCGTCCCTCGGGTGTACGAGGGATGAGGCCGGCACGCTCAACCGCCCGACAGTATTGCTGTTGTTGTAAACCCTCCCAGCCGTTTGGATGTGTGAAAATATACTCGATGGAATCCTCGATGGATGTCCAAGTGAGTGCGAGATGATGTTCCTGGATATAGGTTTTGGCGCAGCTGAAGAGATATCTGATGAAATCTGTGAGAACATCGACGGCAGATTTTCCGGCCGGGAGTGGGGGTAAATAATCGCTGGAGTTAATGGAAGAGGCTAAATGCTTCGGGCGGAGGCGAAGCTTCCACCTGGATATTCATGAATTGTACGAACATCTGGACGTTGGTAACGACTAACCATTCAGCCTTGGTCCATCCTTCTGTCAGCGCTGCCTCGAGCATGTTCTCAGCGAGAACCTCAGCGCCAGCCGCTCTGAGATTGCCGGCCTTGTCATAGTATAAGAGAGATGGCACCTTGGCTTCACCGCCGACTGCTGCTTGACTAGGAAATCTAGGGCCAGTCAAGGCAGATCGATACAAAGAAATGATTAACTTGCCTGCTAACCCCAACGACTTCAGGAACTCGTCCTCGTTCAAGGATACAGTATGAGATACCGCTGTAGGTGGTGCCAATGTCGAACGTCACAACGAGTTTAGTAGTAGGGCCAGTATACGTGTTGAGGTTTGGCATAGCCGTTCAAGGTTGAAGATGGAAAGGGAAGTGAATCGTTTACAATTACAGCAGTTTGCAAAAGTAATGTGGAGATCAGTTCATTGAAATCAGGGTTGGCTGAGATGATCACTTGTATTACTCTCCGCCGTCGGGTTGCCAGAGAACAAAAGCAAATCCGACCTGCCTGGCTCGAACAGGCGACCTCAAGATGGACCTTAACCAATTACAGTCTCGCGCTCTTCCAACTGAGCTAAGGTCGGGTGCAACTTGAATGCGTATCGCTTATGTTTTCACACATATGGCCGGATATGGCAGGTCGATAGCGAAGTTGGTTGGGGATTTCAACTGCGAAGTCATGGGCAAACACAAGGACAAGAACAAGGACGAGATACCCAACCCAACGAGCGTGACGAACCGAGATATCCTTCAACGGCTTAACTTTCTCTTCCAAGCCAGTGTTCTTTTGAATGGTCTCGCACCCCCTCGCACCGTCCCCGACGACGACGACGACGAACCGTCCGTATCGTCGACGACACCCAAGGACAAGGACACTAGGACCGAGGAAGGAGAAGGCGACCCTCCATCGCATCTCAAAGAGTCCCGGCGGAAGAAGAGACGACGCGTAGTGGGCTTTGAAGAGTTGTCAAGGAGCTATGTAGAGACGATGAAGAGCGTGGGGCAAAAGACAAACGTAAAGATGTGCGTGTTCGTTGAAGTTGATTCACACTCCCATACCTCGTTGACGTCCGTGCACAGGGATCCCTCCGTAAAACGCACCATATGCAAACGCTGCAGTGCCCCCTTGATACCTGGCATCTCCGCCACCGTCCGCGTCAAAGGTTCGTAGTAGCATCGCGCACCGCTTTTCATTCATATACATCCTTATTCGGAGCAGACTCAACGTCGCATGGTCACCTCATCTCCTACCGATGTCACTGTTGTCAGACAGAGCGTCGCATCCCCGCTCCTCCTGCTCTCCATTTGGATTCATCGACGAACGAGGCCACCATGCAAGCCCAACCCACGGAGGCCTCTACGTCGTCCATGATTGCTGCCACTGCCCTCACTGGATCCTCGGGTCGTCCCCGACAGCAAAAGCGAAAGAAAAGAGGACCCCAACCCCGCCTGCCGCCACATTTCGCTCGTGGCGTTGGACACATCGTGTTCCGTGGAAACGAGCGCCTCGATACGACGGGTAACATTTCGTAATTGTGATTGATATCTGATTTGGTCCTTCTGGAGATCACATCATCGTTAGACTTAGAAGACGGGGATGGACTGGCCACCAAGGAGTTATGGAGGATGTGTCCAGGCCACAGCAGGAAGGGACTAGTAATGTGAAGCAAATAGTCTAAAGGTGAAAGGTGACGCTAAGGAAAAGAAGACGTATCAGGATATGGACCCAGCAGGAAGATCCAAACCCCCAAATTCTACAACAAGTACGCTGATAGTGATACAGTTAATGTTATGAAAAGAATGTAAGGTATGCTTGTGAACACGGTATCGGCCCCAGACCCAGGATGGATCGTTGGACTATAGCTCAAATATCAGGCACGAGGTTTTTACAGAGAGGAAGACGACGAACGGCAGTCCTGCGGCATCCGAATATGAGGGGCACAAGTCGTCGTCGGTATCCTGTGTCCAGACGTGGGATTAGCATGAATACTGTGAATTTAAATGAATGAAAAGTACTGGGTTATTTGGACAACAGGAGGTGTAACCCAAATCTGCAACGCTTCCAAGAGCGGACTGATTACTATATCCCTCCCATTCCTGACACGAGACACTCTGGTAACTGATATTCCAGACACCAAAGTCCTAGTTTTGTTAATTCATTGTTACCTCTTTGTATGCTGGTCGATCAAACTTACGGTAAAACCTGCGCAAACACATGTTCAGTCACCGATAACCATATGTTATGATGAGCAAGACACACCATAGAGGGCAGCATTAGACGGGAAGAAGTTAGTTGAGATTGAAGTAGATGGCCAGGCAAGATCAAAGTTGAGGTAGCCGCCGCCGCTGGCCCCACCGTCATTTCAATGCACCCGTCAAACATGATGTTGTCCACTCACGCGTTGGGCCCAGACGTCGTGGCGTTACACCACCCCTTCGAAGAAAGTGGACAGAGATCGGTGATTTTGACGACGACGGAATTGGCCGTGTTGGGATAGAATGGCGGATTCGACGTGAAAGCGTTCAAAAGAGTGAGTTTGAAGCACTGGCCACATGCGGGGCCATATGAGGTACTGCTCCCGTACGCCATTTGGCTCAGGGCGGCAGTGGGATAGTATGTGCTGTTTGGGGTACATCCGCACGCAGCGATGAACCCAGTAGGGAGGGAGTAGTGTGTCATGGTTGCATGTCCACTGGGTGGGTATTGGATCCATTCTGAGGCCTGGATGGCAGGAAGAAATGACAGGAAGACGAAAAAATAGAGGATCCGCGAGTAAATACTCGGGAGGTATACAACGCACGACATTTTTCTTTTCCTTGCGGGCTCAGGGAGACATGAGGACGTCGAACGGGGCGTGGATGTCAAGTGCTATGTAGTAACTGCGACGAAACTGCGACTGTGCCTCGCATACGGATTTAATTATAACTCCGTCGTGGCTGCCATGCTGACTCGGATTCGCGCCCTCGAGCACGCTTTCGTCCCATGATGTTTTGCTCATCTTGACACGGGCATGTACTCACCCAAGGATTTGCAGGTGGGCCGGATGGGGGTAATACCCAGACCACACCGTGAGTCATACTCATTTGATCCCTAGTGTTCTGGGAATACTCGGTGCTACACACGACACCGAATCTTTCACAAAGATAGACAACGAATGTCTCGGAGCGTCTTTGTGGGCGTGGTTATTTTGCCTGGTAAGTTATCCGTCGTCGCCATTCCGATGCATGTGCTGATGGGCTAGCCCTCGTATTTCGGTTGGAATGAATATTCACGTACGAACTGAAGGTGAGATTGTCTTCTGAGGATATTTAATTTATATCCATCATGTCTAAGTGTGCATGCTCAGCTTCGTGATCCAGCTCGCATACATCATCGCATCAGTTGGTTCAGATGTCAAGGAATCTTCGAATGATCTCTGCAGACGTCGCATTCAATTCTTACAAAGCCGTCGGAGATCTAATGCAGGCGATGAAACCCTGGACAGCTGCCCCCATTCATCGTCAGTCTCGTTACCACCGTTTTTTGATCTACATTGACACGACCCTTTCTGGAGACTTTCGAACGGGAGGATGTCAAATGATCTGTATACTCGCTTTCGTCGGACCAATCATATTATTGTTTTCATCCGCCTACCGAGATACATGTTATACTGAAAGGGAGAAGGGTGTCTCCCTACCTTATCAAAGCACAAAGCTAGAAGAGGTTGCGACTTGCTCACGCCCAGTTCGGGCATACTAGTACGGTGATTGGGGGCATAAACACCAGAGAGTTCTAGCGCCGGCGATGTGTAATACATCTCATCGATCTCCATCGATCTATCGCTCATCGTCGTGACAGCCATTGAACTGCTTACGCTCAGGAATGCCTGTAAACGATGAATACGCCGCCCGGACGACCTGCAGAGATCATACCTTGGTCAATACACAACCCCTCAGAGGATCTCTTAGAGGGCAGTTCTATAGCCAATGCGAAAAAGCGAGGTTCGATTACCGGTGCAAGTTCAGTCATACCATCTTCAATATCAATCGAGTACACAAGATAGTGAGTACACTGTTTGGCTGCTTTCTCGGCTGAGTATAAATTCGGTGCGTCGCAAGGGAAACCGTGATGGACGGAAGTCCTATATTGTTAGTCTCGACTATGGGCATGGATTTGAGAGATACGGGTGTTACGAGGGATGGGATAGCGGTTGGGACGTGAGAGTACCCGATGGATCAGGGTATCCTCCCGGGCCATCAAAATACGTCGGCCATGCCAGAGTCCACGATCTCCCCAAAGCGTTGCTACTGGAAGAAGCACACACAGGATTGAGGGCGGCGGGCGATGCTCTCGTGAGGTTACTCCAATGGGAAGCAGACGACCAAGACTGATCCTTGTTTTGACTAGACACAATATGGAAAGGTCCAAAGTCTGTGTCGAGCTCACCACGAGCTGAACGCGTGTCAAAGGCCAGACTGCAAATTTGATCATGATTTGGTCGACAGCGCACGAATTGAGAAGCTTGCGCGGTGGGTACCACGGGATACAGACAACTATGATGTGCTCACGGTTGAGTGCCGCGTGGTGGAGGGGCAAACGACGTGGAAGATTATTCTGAAGGAGGCTGCCTTTGCGAAGTTGAAAGCGACAGATCCAATTGCACACCATATCACGTCGAGACCGTACAGCTACGAGGCTGCGGAACTGTTGGACGTGGTGAGACATATGGAACAGGTTGTTGGGCTCGCTACTACCAGTACCTAATTCACGCTCCGATTCGTACGTCCACTACGACTGTCTTCTGATCTCGAAGTAGGTCTGGCTTGGGGAGACTAGGCCGCCGAAAATGTTTCACCCCGCAATGTTGCTCCCAATTTGCTGGCAGGATGCGCAGTATCCCATACCATCCACGCTGTGTGCATTATTTTGTTCATCTCCTCCGGTTCGTATCGTTTGAGCATAAGGGTTGGTCCCGACCCGAAACAGACTCGGAGGTTGGAAATGTCAAACCTGCTTGTAGGCTGTAGCACAGATCGTTGGGTTCTGCCAGCAGGTTTCATCACTCAGCGGGTCCATGCTGCAATCATCAATGTACGGATATTGTCGATGGTTCACAACATTAGTGATCTGGTGGACGACGGCTGAGAGAGTGTAACTTAACATCAACAGAAATACCCGAGCTACCTACCCAAAGACATGACATCTTCATACCGTCCTCGATCAGTTGGGTGCTTTCAGAAACACTCGGGGTTACCTTTACGCCTTGGGCCACACCGGCAAGCTCCCATAGCGCGAAAGATAGGAGCCATGCCACCCCGCTGCAGGATCTGGACGAAGTCGTGCACGTGCACGTTCACTTCGTGGCAAGTGTCGGGAAGGGGATGCTGCGTGTGCATTTGTTTTGCACACGCTGAACCGTTCTGTCTACAAATAGGGTGTTGTCGGTTGGGACATGGTAGCAGGAGGAGGTAGAAATAATTTTGTCTCCCCTAACGCATAGATACTGGACCAGAACAACACTATTCCTCTATTATCACTACAACCTGAAGCGATGACAGACTTACATAAAAGCACAAGAGACACTGAGCGGGACATGACACAAGT